GGGGGGGGGATTGTTCGACGGTCTATTTAACATTCACACAGTGAAGTCACGCACACGTATAAATAAACACGACTAGAATGCTTTTTAAAATACATGTTATGCTACAGAAGAATAGTAACAGAATCGTACCTTTGTCTTTTTTTGTTGTATTTTGTCAGTGCATACTGAGATATTTGACTAATTCCTTTTAAATCGAACAGTTCGTTATATTTCACACCATTAAGTCACTAACAAGAATACATGAAAATGAATATACAATTGAAAATACACGTTACGCAATAGTACTATTGAAAGATTGTCGAACTGTGTATGTATTTTAATGTATAGATCTAGTTGTTTTATCAGGACAGGTTGCTATTTTTCTAAAATACGAGTTGTTTGTGCTTTGTGTGAGCACGCTGTGTGTTTGTGTTTGTGTGTGTTTGTGTGTGTGTGTGTTTATGTGTGTGTGTGTGTGTGTGTGTGTGTGTGTGTGTGTGTGTGTGTGTGTGTGTGTGCTCAGAGCCCGATTATAGATGATAATCATATGGTATCAATGCCTCACTCAGCTCTAATTGGCTGCTTAGAAGGCGGAATCTTCGAATTAAGAGTCCATTTTAAATATTACATCGTCAAACAGGCGATGAATCTTGAAAACTCCTCAAAAACTGAACTTCCAAAACGTCTGTAAGGGAATTCGAACCAGGGCCAAGTGCATAATACTCCACCTTGAGACCAACTAAGTATGTCCAAAGAGCGTAACAAGGGACTCAATACAGGACACTTTTCCCGTACGAATTGGTGGAGCGCAATGATTAACGCCTCATCATCTAAGGGTTCTAGGGTTTAATTAAAAAGAAAATCCTCCTTTAATAAGGGAGGTGTATTAAAAAGATGGGCGTAACAAATGAGAAAATGTTTATATACTTTGCACTGTTAAACAATACAGGAGGGGAAATAAAATGACATGTTTAAAAATAGCCTCATAATATCATTTTCAGACCTGTCCACTCTGAGGTGTCATCCTCCCATCTTTTCTTCCTCTTTTCTCTCCTTTGGAATACAGGTGCTGTGCCTTGCAGACCAGTCTATGATAGCCCACATGATTTTGTGATGTATCCAAACTATTATCTTTTTCACCTCTTTACAATGAACAACAGTCACAACAGGCCCATCATATCGGTGAATTCTTTCGTAACTATCGTATACTTTACTTATGCTAGGTAATCTATTTCTCCAGGCTGGGCTACTCTGCTGAAGGGAGTGACGAACGCACCAGGTGACCTTTGGGGTCTGTGGACTTCCAAGAACACTTCGAACGAGAAGAATCCCGTTGCTATGGAACTCTCCAATAGACTCAAAGAGCACTACAAACCAGATTTGTCAAACTACTGGAACGACTGCAAATTTGATATGGTAATGTTACCTTTGTGGAGCTTTTATTTGTATTTTGTTTTTCAATTATACTTTCTCATCAGATGTTATTGCTGCTGTTGTTGTTTTTGTTGCTTCAGTTGTTGCTGTTGCTGCTGCTGTCGTTGTTGTTACTGTTGTTATTGTTTTTGTTGTTGTTGTTATTGTTGTTGTTGTTGTTGTTCTTCTTCTTCTTCTTCTTCTTCTTCTTCTTCTTCTTCTTCTTCTTCTTCTTGAGGGGGGAGAATGAACCTTTATCTGGTGGATGGTAGATGCTCTAGCATGATTTATAAATACTAGTACTATCGGCTTGGATTTTTGCATTCAGTTGTCTTCTTCTTCCCATCACTTTCTCTTTCTCCTCCTCCTCCTCTTCCTCCTCTTCCTCCTCCTCTTCCTCCTCCTTCTCGGCTTTCTCCTGCTCGTACTCTTCTTCTTCAGACTGCACGTCTTAATTTTGTTTATTTTTTATTGTTTGTCTGTTTTGCTTTATTTTGTTTTGTTTACTTATTTATATCTCATTTTGTGCTGTCTGATCGTACTTTCTATTTTCATACCTGATCGCTTATCTCATTCATTTTAAATCACATCACCAGTACTTTCTTTTAACTAATTCTTTCCTTTAATCCACCAGATCAAACTTTCTTTAATGACCAACGGAAAAGAAGACGGTTACATTATTTTCGACTCTAAAGGCACGGACAAACTCAGTTGGTTTGATTCTAGTAGGATTATCAACTCGACGTTCTCGGACCTGAGCAGCTCATCCAATTTCGATGCGTTTACATCATCTGGGTGAGTGTGCAGATATTATAAAGAGGCTTTAGTCATTACGTTATTTGGTCGCTTTTAAGCACAAAGGGGTTATCACGAAAATGCTGTTTTTAGAAAATTGAAGGTAAAGTTTTTGCCCCTTGTTCAGTTTCTTTAAAACACAAGGAGAGTTTTCTCTATACCCAAACAAATGTTCACACCAATGAAACCAAACTTCTTCTTTAGGTAGGGCAATGCCCACTTTTGATGTAGGTCAAGATTTCTGGAAACACCCGAAATCTGGGTTAGTCCGCTTGTCTTTAAAACCAACCATTTATATTATTTTGGAGGTGGGCTGCTTTGTCCCTGACTGTCAGGGACAACCCAGCCTGAGAGGGATATTACGTCTCAAGAAATACTGAAGGAAAAAAATGCTCCATACATAGAATTTAACGCACATGTGCTGGCTAAAATAGCCTAACCCCTACGTCGCATGCGACAGTAAAGAAAAATTAAGGCTAAATAAGATAAGCAGATGGCATTGATATCGATATTTTATTTGTAATGCACATGGCTGGCTTAGAATGTTTAGTTTGATTTTATTTCTACTTTTTGTGATTTCCACCAGTCGCTTTCGAAATAAGCGCGTATCTTCATAGACCATGTTCCGTATTGATCTGTCAGGGACCCGAACACAGGCCGACATTTCGTGATCACCCAAAGCACTCGCAGCTGTGACATCAAGGGATGGTTAATAATGTCCACAAGACAGGACTGCTTCTTCGAGAGAGGCGTTCAGCCAGGCTTCCACTACTCTGCCAATGGAAAAGTTGGCCAGTTTGGAAAAGGTAGGATGGCGGTTGGGTTGGAAACGTTACTTGAGTTAGGTTGGGTTTTTCGGGAGTTGATTGCTTTGATGGTAAAAAGTTTGAATCAGATAGGATGGCGTTCAGATAGTAGGATTAATTTAATTTGGTTTATTTTTTTCCTAGGGATATTGCGGTTTCTTTTTGGGGACAGTTTGAAATAAGTACGATGGATTGCTAAGCTTATTTTGGGAGGGTGGGGGTGGGGGAGGGATATTTGCTGTTGCTTTTGTTTGAAGAGTTTTCATTTTTCCGGGGCTAGTTGACAAGAAAATAGGAAAAGATTTATGGTCTTTAGATTGTAAATCCTATTTCATTTAATTTTTGTTTTTGTTTTCTTTTAATGGGGGTTGGTGTACTTTGTTTTACAGGGCCTCCAAATAAAGGGCAAAACACCAGTCTCGCTGAAGTCAATTATAAGTACAATCTCCCCCCCCCCCAACCTTCTCTCTCTCACACACACACACACACACACACACACACACACACACACACACACACATACATACATACATACATACACACAGTTTTCTCTTCCTGTGGTTCCCAATTAATTCAAATGGTGCGCTCCGCGGTGTGAATGGGTATTACTTCCCCAACGATTCTTAGTATGCCTTTCAAATGTTCTGACCCTATAATAAAAGTTGTAATTTAATTGATATTGAATTACAGTGTTATTATTGTAAGAAAGTATGGTCCAAATGTCCTGTCAGTTTCTATGGAATAGCCCTGACGTGCACCAGCTTACAAGCAATTCTGTTACTCACTGACTCTCTGGTTACATTTTCAGATACCCTCCGCTCTGATATTATGGTCATATCTGGATATGGTGGAAAATGTAAGTATGTCGTAGCTGATGCGGCTGGGATAGAAATAATGTTTTGATGCATTTAAAAGAGCTACATTATATAATTTAACGAACAATTAAAACGAAACAAACAATCTTTAATTTCATGAGAATAAGAGCACAATGTTTGTGTTCGCGATTTCTTCTTCGTGCGATTGTGTTGCTTCACTCTGTTGAAAAATTAAATTTCCAATAGCGCCATCTTTCAAAGAGATCTAAATTTTCCTGAAAGGGACGTAAATCACTTATAGAAAAAAAGATTGAGCAGTTAAGTTCAGCAATCCACAGAGACAGTCTGCAGCCCGCTTAACCCAGGTTCACACTACTGTCAGATTATAATCCATCTAACTAACACAGTCCATGTGCAAAAAAGATTTAGTGCTCAAAACGAAACCATTAGCTCTTTAACAAAAAAAGGAGATACTAATGAGCACCTGTTATGTTAAGTCCATGTTTTGTGTGGTATTTGTTACTGCTCTGTACATTGCAGAGAAAATAATATTCTCTTTTCATTTGATTTTCAATACAAGTCCACTCCACCAATGTTGATACATTTCAATATACGCGCGAACACACTTTTGCGTTTCTCTGATTTCGCACAGTTTTGCCAAGCCTGGTTAGTTTAGGTCAATTTTGAGTGACCATATCTCGAGCGTGACTCAACATAGATGAAACATTAATGTGTAAGATGATGCTGAAATTATTCAGCTTTAAATTGGTATGCTGCATGCGCGGGTAGTGCAAGCCTATAACTTGGTGATTACATTTTAAAGTTTCCTTTGGTCGCCACTATATATTATATTTATTATATATATA